GAGAGAGAGAGAGAGAGAGAGAGAGAGAGATTCCAGGTAAAACATCAGAGGTCTCTGTCCAGAAGAGCGCAGTCCTAGGAACAGCTAAGATACTGCGCAGAACCCTCAAACTCCCAGGCCTCTGGTAGAGGACCCGAGCTTGAGGATGACACATACCACCCCACGAGGGGTGAGAAAACAGTTTGTTTTTATATATATATATATATATATATATATATATATATATTGCTTTAGTTAACATTAAAGGTCAGCATAATCCACAATTTTAAGCAGTCTACTCTGAGATCACATCATGATGCACAGGTCTTCTCAAACAGGAAGAGCTCAGGTAATTACTAAATCAGTTAAAGAACCACAATACTGAATTGCTTATTCTAACTTCCTAAAATTACTGATTATTATTGAAAAACCATGAAAGGATAAAAATAAAAATCAATAAGAAAAGGCTATCAGAACAACATGCATTTTTCAGTAGGGCTGTACCTTTTAAGTATTTCCTTAACAACTTCAGCAAGTTAAAATATAAATTACCTTATTTAAAAAAAAAAGTACAAAATACTATTATTTAATGGAATAAAATAAAATGCTTTAACCTTTTAGTGCTGTCTAGAGGGACAAAACATATTACTAAGCAAACTTCCACTGGTCAATTGTAGCTTAGCAGACATGTTCCAGTTCAGCTATTATCACTAATCTCAAAGCGCTGACAGATGAACAGCTCATTGGTGTTTTATGGCCTCCGTGTTTCTCTAGCAGTAAGCTTTTCTCCATCTGATGGGATTAGGACCTGTAACCGAGCTGTGTGCACCGCCATGGTCTAATAAAAAAAATATAAAAAATCATATTAATGTATATTTCTTTGGGCCAAATGCCTTTTTACTGAACCTGTAGGTACAACCCCATGATGTTCAACCATTGTTAGAAGCAACCTTCTCTAACGATGTCTTCCTTTTGATCTTTTGACCTTTAAATTAACCTTTAAATCAAAACAGTTCCACAATCATTATAATTTTTAGAATTGGTAAATGAACACCAAGTATTATATTGCCTGAAGCAAAAAGAAAAGAAGCCAAACACATAGTTTTGTTTTCTGCTATCATATTATTTTAGGGGGCTAAGTACTGGATTTATTCTATAAGCTGAAAGTGTAATCATTTTGCCCACTCTTTCCTCTAAAGTACCTTCTGTTCAGTGAGCAAAAATTGACATCTAGATGCTTCAGTGATGATGTTTTACCATTATGGCTGTATGTTTAGGGTCATTAAACTGCTGGAACGTAACTCTGCTCTTAAATCTTTAACTCTCACATAAAGGTTTATTTTCTTAAAGTCTGCTTTGTTTCCAACATGGCCTGAAAGAAACACAAAACATGATTTAATCTGTTTCTGGCATATTGGACTGGTCACCAGTTATTGATTGATTGATTTATTGATTGATTGATTGATTGATTGATTGATTGATTGATTGATTGATTGATTGATTGATTGATTGATTGATATCACATCACAGTGGAGAAATTATATCATTTGTGCTTTAGATGTGAAACAGCTCAGGGGTATCAATACTTTTACAGGATGCAAGTGAACAATGAAAACAATAAAAGCATGAAGATCTTACCTTTGCTCCCTTCACCCCACTGCAGTCACATTTTCCACATGAAGCTCCACAACCCTGAAAAAGGAAATAGCCCAAGTTATGATGGTAAAAACAACTTTTGGCCACACGGGGGCAGTAGACACAAGCAATAAATACCATTGACCCAAAACACAGGTTAATATGTTTCAAAATGTTTGTTTCACCTGATAATTATTAAATCGTATTTCTTGTGTTTTATTGTATTTTTCCCACCATTTAATAATTATAGGTTTAAAACTATTTCTACCACAGGAAACAAGAGATTGCTAGAGTGAGGCAATGAGTGATTTCCCTGAATCAGTTGAAAATCTTTATTTAAAAGGATTGAGGATTAGATATAAAAACTTGTATTTGGAACAGCTTATTTTTTAGCTGCTCACCTTCATCTCTAAAGCTACATAGAGGAATCACCTTCTTGCAAAACTACTTGCAACCAGAATTGCTGAAATACACTTGAATGCAGCTGGTGTGGGCCCTCCACCGTCCTCCACCGACACCCACCCTGCTTCCTTTCCTCTGAGGTCTCCAGAGGCCGGGGCCTGGGAACTGGCCTGCAGTCTCTTGGCTCTGCTGTTCTCTTCCTTTTCTCTCCCTCTTCCAGCTGTTGCTAAACTCACGTGTGAGGCTTACAGCCAAGATACTGTCAGAAGCAGGAGAGCTCTGCATGCTTGGGAAGAAACGTGCACAGCTACATTCACCACACTTATGTCTGACTCTCTCTGGTTCTCACAGACATAGAAGAGACAAATAACTGTTTTTATGGAAAAAATTTTTTTTTTTTTTTTTTACTTTCTAACTTGGGAGGAATTTACTGTTTTCACCTGATAGTTTACCACACCTTACCAATAACTCAGGCTAGCATCATTCCTGTCTAACACACCTGCTAATTGAACCAATATGCAGGCCTATAAAACACCAGAAACCATAGCCTACCCCTGGCTTTTAGCAGCCTATCCCAGTGCACTTGTTCTATTCATTTTATTGCACACATGTGCCCTGCTATTTGTCAGCCCATCTATTTAAAACACTTATCACTCACTCATTCTCACCACCCTGGTTTTGGTTTCCTAATTGTTTAAATTTACCATTTACTCTTTATAACAGCTTACAAAACACTCCTTCTCAAAGCACATTAGAGTCAGATCACAGGGAAAGCTATGTAAAGGTAGACATTATGTGGGTTTTATTATGGCAAACTCTGTCAAAGTGTTAACAGGCCCAGCTGTTGATTCAGAGCCAACTGAACCAAGCAGACATGCCTGCATGTTGGGCTGTGTGACAGGGGGCTTCCTATCTAGAGTTTTCCATGAAGAGCCCCACTCTGTGATGTCTACAGGATCTCCAAACACAACTCAGTAAGCTGCAGGTAGATAAGAACAATAGTTTTCTTTGATCCCCCCCATCTTCATCCTTTACGCATCATCTTCACAAACCCAAACAGCAGCTGGATAGTGACGGCTCAAAAGCTTACAGGACATCTGCACAAAATGTCTTGTTAATGACTCTCGCAATGGTAGATCAGATATCTGTGATTTTGCATCTACGTGCTTTTTTTTGCTTTTTTGCTGTTTTTAAAGAAGATTTGGAGGGGATCTTATCACATAAGTCCATGGGTAGAGAAAGAAGGCACAATACCAAAAGGTGGGAGACTTAAATACCGATTTGCCCTCATGGAGATGAAATGCTTGAGCACAGAGAGGCTCATGCAGGCTGGGTCCTTCATGCACACCGCAGCTTTAAGTTTTTTTTAACAGTTCGTAAACTGATTTTTGTTCAACTTTTTCTCGGATTAAGTATATTTCGAAAGGAAAGTTAACATTCTAAATTATGTGTATTTTACAAATTACATTATCAGTATCAATAAGGAAACTATAAACAAAAAGAAAACATTTAATCTCATCTTTACTGGGACTGTGCCTTTTAAAATAAATTAACAGACTGAAAAATAAATAAAATGTAAGGTATTCATTTCAGTTTACTCTTAAGAAATCAGGGTTTTATAATGCTTTGAAACTATATTTACCCAACATTTATTTTATTTATACTGTTTTGTTTCTCAAACAAACAGATTAGAGCCATAAGACAGTGGTGAGGACTGTTGTAGATGGGACAGTCAGGAAAGTAGGACTGCATTAAGTGCAAAATGGAAGTATTATCAGAATAAAAAGAAAGCTGTACACGCAAGACCAGCAATGTTGTATAGTTTAGAGACAATGGCACTGGGGAGGAGACGGGGGGGCGAGGTAGTAGAGATAAAGATGCTGAGGTTCTCTTTAGGAGGGATGGGGATGGATAAGATCAGAAATAAGTACATCAGAGGGATAATTCAGGTTAGATGTTTTTGGAGATAAAGCCAGAGAGGCCAGTCTGAGATGGTCTGGGCATGTACAAAGGAGGAACAGTGAGTACATCAGTAGAGAGGTGCAGGGATGGAAATCCCAGACAGGAGGCCCAGAGGAAGGTCATAGGAGATATGTATGAATGATGTAAAAAGGACAAAGGTAGTTGGAGTGAAAGAAGATGATGTAGATGATTGGGGTTAGATGGAGACTTAGAGTGACAACCCATGATAGGGCAAAGAACAAAGAAGTAAAATAATCAAATAACTTTTAATATTAGATTGCTTGAGATAATTTTCCTATATCATTTGGTTATCTTTAGTATAGTTTAGTTTGTTATATTTTTCATTACATTTTAGTCCCCTAAATCTACTGCAGATTAAGTTCTGAATAATATCAATTAATGAAGACAATTTTTGTTTTGTTTTGCATGTATTGTTGTGTTGTTGTTGTATTTTCATGTAGGTCAAAGATACTCAAGCTTCAGTTTACAGAGAATCCACTGAAACATGTGACTTTCACCTTGTTCCTAATGAACTCCCTAACATTTAAAATTATCTTCAGACTCATTTGACTGTATGAGGGAAAGTAGATCTGACTGAATTAGATAGCCTTCCAACATTTTTGTCGCATCTAATGATGATGTCAGATATTTTCTTACTGGTCTCACTTTAGTGAAAATAGTAAACAACTCGGATAACGAAATCAGTTCTAAAGATTTAACAAACATCTTTGCTGTATAAAGGCTCATGTTTGAACTTCTCTCAGTTTCAGGCGGTGCACCGTGGCGCAGTGGGTAGGACTGCTGCCTTGCAGCAAGAAGGTTCCGGGTCTGGTTTCTGCATGGAGTTTGCATGTTCTCCCTGAGCATGCGTGGGTTCTCTCCGGGTACTCCGGCTTCCTTCCACAGTCCAAAAACATGACTGTTAGGTTAATTGGCTTCTTTAAATACTCCTAAGGTGTGAGTGTGTGTGTGAAGGGTTGTTTGATTTGTTTGTCTCTGTGTTGTCCTGTGATAGACTGGTGACCTGTCCAGGTACCCTGTCTCTCGCCCATTGACAGCTGGAGCACAAGCACCCCTCGCTATACCAGCAGGGATAAGCGTGACGGAAATTGGATGGATGAATACGTTTCAGGTTTCTCTCCAGCACAAAATCAATTAGGTTAATTGATGACATTGTTTATTATTTAAAAATCACCTTTCAGCCAAAATTCTATTTTACATAGAGAAATTGAAAAAGGCTAAAAAACAAACCAATGGACTTTGTTATCCAAGTTTGAAGACATTTCACTTCCCATCCAGGAAGCTTTTTCAATTCAAAATGTCTGCATTAGCGTTGAGTTCCAAGCTTTAGGCTTAGAAAACATACAAATGGAACCGGAAGAACAGGTCTATCCCTCTGAAATGGGGAGTACAGTAGTTGAGGTCTTTGTTAGCCACCTGATTGAAAAAAGCTTTGTGGGTGGGAAGCGAAATGTCTTCAAACTTAGACAACAAAGTCAAATAGGTTTCTTTTTTTATTTACTTTTTTAGAAATAATGACATGGATGACTGAGAATCTTCACCAGCATATTGGAATAAATATTTAAACTTTCTGCTTTGTTGAATCTAGCACGTAATGACGTGGACTTGTAGGAAATTTCCTCTTGAAGTATTATCAGTATAAAAGTCCTCCAAACTTTTACGGAAACTGTACTTAAAATGTTGTTGCGTGTGTGACTATATGAAGTATTTCTGGAACTGGAGACGATGAAAATGGAAAGAAAGGAAGATACTAGGCTCTGTCCAGGCGGCTCAATCTCTCTAAAAGCAAACACACTTAGAGTTTAGGCCCAGCAGTAATGAGTATTAATGTCTTCAGTCAGTATTCAGTTGCTGGTGAGTCACTGAGTTCTGTTTCAGATCCAGTAAACCTCTGCAGTAAAAGGTCTCACGTGTTCCAAGACAAGCGTTTGTTTCATAGCCGAGTCAGGACAGCAGGTCTGGATGTCTCCAAACTGTGAAAATCTCCATGGCCTGCGCTGGCAGGTTGCTTACATTAACTGGGTGCTGCACAAAACAGTGCCTTATCATGACTGTGTCTCTATGACAGTGTTTGTGATTGTTTACTGTGGCTGGAGCTGGCAGGGAGAGACCAATGCTGAAGGTTTGTTTTAAAAAGAAAATGTTACAGATACAAAAAAGGGCCGACAGCAAAGAGATAACGGAGTGGGTGTAGCTGCTGGGGTCTGTGGCACGTTCACAGAATAAATTGATGCAGACAGGAGTCAGTTGAGAATATGTATCACATGTGATGAGGCGCCTTCCTAAATTCTCTGATGTTTGATCAACGCTAGCTTGATAAGTCTGACATCATCGGATAGAAAACCGAAGCTCTAAGACAATCCCCGGAGAGAGGAATTGATGAGTAATGTTTGCTCTGGAGATTAGAGGTTTCAGTCTGCAGGCAATGCTGGTTGAAAGATGTTAACATTGAATTCAGGATATCTGTCACTCCAAATGTAAATCAGGACTGACTGTATTCAACGTTTTTTGACTGGTTTCTAATAAGAAATGGGGCTAATTTAAAACAAAAGGAAAGAAGAGATGGTAAACGATGTCTTTGGTTTGGTTAGAACAGGCAGTCAGATGGACTGATGGATTCAAACTGCTGGTCTTTACCTCTACATTCGGCCAAGATAGTTCTGTAGATGCTA